TGCTTGGCCTGCTGTGTTCATCCAGCTCTACACCTTGTTATCCTGATTAAATGTTACATTTTTCTGTATGCTGTTACCTTTTTTTTAAATGGAAGCACTCCATTAGTGCTCAACAGGATGTGTGGATATTTGGGCTGCAACTGCATATAACTGCATGGGCATATATTGATTTAGATGTAAAAGCAGTTTTTCTTTAACAGCTTGAGTATGAAGCATTAAAAAGAAAACAAAATTTGAGATTTAACAATTGTTACTAAAGAGCTACCGGAAAATAAAACTGTGACTTTGTCTCTTTAAACAAAACCAGATGCTTATTCAATTGTGTGAATTCTAGAGTCCAAAAACGTAAAGCTGAGTATTTATCAAACAAGAAACTCATATTGCATCCAGGCAGAATAAAAATATGTGATCGAAACTGACAGACATAAAGATTTTAATAGGGAAGGTTTTTCTGGATCTGGACCCAGAGAAACTAGCTTGCATGAGCATTGGGGAAAAAAGGATGGTTAGAGCAAATTATTATAAAAAAGTGAGTATTGTGACCCACCTTATTTTCTGATATTTACTGTGTTGAGACAGTCCAGTGAGTCCTTCAAGTAGTTTTCATTCAAGTGGTGGCCAGCAGTATCTATGTTGAATAATATTAATCACATTGATAAACAGTTTTTGTTATTATTCGTTAAATAGATGCTTAATTCTGAGAGCTGAAACCATACAATACAGGATGAAGTGAGTCAGCCCATAATGACATTGCCAGTTGTTTGAAAGAGCTAATCAATTTGTCCACTTTACCTGCTTCCCCCCACCGCCTTAGATGAATATCGTATGTATAGGAATTTTTGATTATATTTGTCAATGTGGTTGTAATTTTGAATGCAAATACCGGTCACCGTTGTTGAATTACTCCCAAAATCTGGAGAAAGTCTTGCGTTTAAGTAGCTCCTTCAATGACAAAAGAGTGTTCAAAGTATTTTACAGTAGTGATGTACTTGTGAAATGTAGTCACTGTTGCAATGAGGGGAATTTGGCAGCTAATTTGAGCATTACACAAACAGCTATATGGTAATAAACAGATAATCCATCTTAGTAGCATTGATTTGAGGGGTAACTATAGGTCCAGCCACTGGTTTAACTCCTGTGTTCTCCTTAAAGATAGTGCTCTGAGATCCCCTCCCAGAGATCAAACAGAACTTTGATTTTGGGACTTCTTCGAAAATGTAGGATTTCTTCAGTAGTGCACTGAGGCATTACCTTTTTAATTTTGTTGCTCAAATCATTAGAGTAGTATTTGAACGTATAATCTTTTGACTCAGAGGTGAGAGTGCTACCAACTGAGCCACAGCTGACACTGGAGGATTTGATGGTAATGACAGCTGCCAAATTGGAGTTAATGCTGTTTATTACTATTGTTGTGAAATAGCACATTTTTGTTTCCTGTTATCCATTATTAAAGACTATGTTGAATTCAGAATTCCTTAAACATTATTGACTTGAATGTGTATTATGTAAGAGTTAAAACAGCTTGAACTCTTGCTCAATCATCGACTTGCAAAATTAAAATCCATTGAATTACATACATCATTTCAAATAGTTCCTATTGAATTCCATTTATACATTCCAAATTAAAATAATGCTGCTGTAACATCCTTTAAGCATCTAACTACTGAGCTAAATAGTTTCGGAACAAACATAGAGAGTCAGTGTAGAATGGAATCCTGCACTGACCTAATTCTAATGCACACAGATGGTTTAGTGGAGGTGACTGGACTACTTTTTGAGACTTGTGATGATCTGAAGGTGAGCTTATTTATAGCTGTAAACAGCTTTTGATCTATCACATGAATGCTGGAGGTAGTCAATGTGACAGATGATTGTTCTATTATTGAAACTTGGAGAAGTCATTTGCCATCTTATTTTTTGTGAGTAGTTAGTGCTTGCCTTTATATTTGTACACATACGATATCTTCCACTGTGTTTGACTCTTGTCTTCCTTAGATTCCTTTGCCAGACACCAAATAAAGTTTCTAATTTTGCCATAATTTATAGCCACTTGGTAAGCTGATATTTCAAAACTGGAAGATTAATTAAGAAATATATATTTGAGACCAGATAATTAAGTATTGAGGAGGTTTGTAGTGATTGTTATTTTATCGTACTTCAAAAAGCAGATTATTTTCTTTAAAATTGGAAAAAACACAATTAGCAGCCAACGGAACACTAACCACCGCTCCTTTCATTCAACTGGTCACCATCACAGTTGCCCCTCATCTATTCTAAGATGATCTATCTTTGGCTTTTGTAATACCTTTTCCTTCAATCCTTTTTCATTCCTTGTTTCTTTAGCTGTGTATTACTTTTCGTGCTGCTAATTATCTTTCTCAATATTACGTGGTGTTTAAAGCTTATACATTAAAGTTATCTTACTGTCTGTATTTGTCTGATGTTTAGCTTAAACGAAAGTTTTCCGAAATGTGTTGTTTTAACATAGGAATCCTTCCTAATGTACAAGCATGATGTAATAAATGTCTAATGATATTTTTCACCTGTACACCAGGTAGTGTTACAATAAACAGTACACTAAAAAATAGTCCTCAGTTGTTTAAATACATTTATGGAAAATGAATTGCCTGAACTAAATGTATATTAATACTAACATTACTGATTTAAACTTCTTTTGATAATGCTGCATGGTTGACTTGTCAATCGCTTAGGACCTTTCATTGGGATACCGATCCTTCAGTTCTGCAGCTTCAAGCTGATATTGGGTATTGCTTATTCATTCTATCTATTGCACTTTTTCAGTTATTCATATATTTCTGACATGCTAGTCTGCAGAATTTGAGGATGTAGTTACATCCTTGCTTTAAATATTTATCAATTGATACCTTTCATATGCACTTCTCTTGGCTTCGTATACAGTTGCTTATTTTATAACTTCAGTAATTCTCTCTCTCCCTGTACTGATCATTTACTGACAGACGAGGAGCCATTAAACTGGAGATGGCAAAAATCACCCAGGTAGACTTTCCTCCGCGAGAGATTGTCACATACACAAAGGAAACACAAACTCCAGTGATTGCACAAAATACTGAAGGTAAGCTGACTTAAATATGTATGTATGTTAGTGGAAAAGTACGAAAAATAATTAAGCACCTTTTTGTATATAGGGTTGTAGATTTGTGAAGTAATATTTTTGAACAAACAAATTCTTATGGGGCTGTTTAATTGCTGGTGTAAATTGTATGAATAAATATTAAATGTAAAAAAAATACAAAATTTGTCCTAAAATGTTTTTCACAGCAAGTTCATCTTGTCGCTCAATGTAGCATAGTATAAAGCCTAAAATACCATTCTATAGGAATGGGTTGTATTTGCAGGGAGTGCAGATAAGCATTTTGTCAATATTTTTTATACTTTGTGCATTGCGTATGTATTGTGAGTAAATACTTTCTTATCCATTTCGTACTGTGTAAACCAGCAATCTGTGAATATTATACCATTAAGGGAACAGTCAATTCCAATGCAGTTCTGAGGAAGGGTCACTGGACCCAAAACGTTAACTCTGACTTTTTTCTTCACAGATGCTGCCAGACCTGCTGAGCTTTTCCAGGCAACTTCTGCTTTTGTTCCTGATTTGCAGCGTCTGCAGTTCTTCCGGTTTTTAGTTAGTTTCAATACGTTGCTACATTTGACATTTCTAGTTACTAGTGAGGATGGAAGAGCTAAACCAGTAAGAGTTTTACCTCTGAGTTTTACAATTTCAGAAAATGAACAACTTCTTCCTTCGTTCCCTTTCCCCACACCCCTACGTATGTGTTGCTTCCAGCACAACCAACCCATTTTCTACCATTTACACTTCTCATTAGCGCCCTAATCAGCATTTAACTCTCTTTTGGCTTATCAACAGTAATCTCTTTGTCTATTGTCACTTTGTCTCTTTCGGTGTCTCTGTCTGTCTGTCTGTCTCTCTCTCCCTCCTCCACTCTCTCCATTCCCCTCTCTTTCTTTCCCTTCACCAACTCCCTTTCTCTACACCCCCAATTTACTCCCTTTCTCATTCTGTGTCCCTAACTTTCTCTCTCTTTGTGTGTCTCTCTCTCTCTCCATCTTTTTTTCTCATCCTTTCCTCCTTCCTTACTTCCTCCCTCCTTTCCTCCCTTCTTCCCATCCCCCACCCCTGTCTTTCTGTATGCTACTGGGCCCCGTCTCCATGTACTGTATTCACCTCACCACCACCACCCCCCACCCCCAACAAATCATCAGCAAAAATACTACCCTTTACCAGATCTTTTCAGTTCTGACATAGTGTTTTTACAGATGCTCCTAGACTTTTTAGTACTTTGTCTAACCCTTGAAAAAATTATTCAGCTGATTTCCCAATGTATTTCACACCCCAACTATGTCTTCTCCAGATCCCTAAAACCTTCAGACCTTGATTTGACAGTCCCCTCTTCTGCTGAGGCTGGACCGAAGACTTTATCCACCTGGCATATTACACATACTCACCTGACACTTTACCTACCTGTGACCTTACTCTCTATCCTCCTGACACCCTCTCCTCATCCTTACCTTACATACTTACTCTTTCATACAAACTGTCAAAGTGGCTGTCTGTGATGCTGGACCTTTAAATTACAGAATACAGCAACTAACTGCTGTGAAAAATCGGGTGTAGTTTACTCTCCCCTGGCTGCTTTACACTATGCAGTTCCTGTCAATGAAAATATGGCTCTGCATTTCTGAAGGAGTTCTGATTAGAATTTCCTGTCAGAAATGCATAGCTCTTCCCTAAAAAGGAAGGAACGGAGTGACAATCCGTGTGAGACTGCCACTATTCAGAAAATATAGTCCGTTGTTATGTCACTCATATTTACTCAGGATGGAACTATCATTTAAAAAGGTATCTATTTTAACTATAAATTAAAATTGTATCAATTAACTGTTTAAGTATTAACAGATATTTTGGTAATGATAACATATTAATATGTTCCTATAATCCCTATATTTTTGATTGATCCAGTGGTGCAGAGATGACAGAATGTCCTTTAAATCGGAAGTTGTGGGCTTGATCCTGCCAAACCAGTCCTAATTTTGGCTTTGAAATCTTTGAAATAAGCAGTTGCATGAAAATGCCTTTAGGGCTAGTTGGATATTGTTCCAAATGGGCATTGACCACTGGGATAGAAAATGGTTGAGCAAAGGCGACACATGCATCTATACAATTCCATGCATTGATTCTTTTAACACTGATTGTGACGTGGTGGAGCTTAGTGCCTTCGATAAGGGTGGCAACCATACTTGGATCCCCCCTGAAACCAAAAGACAAGTTGGTATTGCAGGTGGTAACTACCAACCATGAGTGTTCCAAAGGGTAAATCAGGCCAATCATCTATTTCAGTAAAGAGTTCTTTATTGATTGTGTCTTCTGTAGAATAGGGTGTACTTCCTACTTTAAAAATAATTTCACCAAATTGTAGTAACCTAGATGATGGAAATACTGCATTTTTTTTTCAATGTGATATAATGTCACAAAATTATTTTATTCATATTTTCTAAACATTAACTGCAATACAGTAACCAGAGGACCAAAACTTATCATTTAACAATTTAATAATTTACATCCCTAATATTTACCTTGGGTTAATTTTAATTGGATGTTCAGAAACAGGTTTTGAATATGTATAAAAATATAGTAGATTGTGTTACAGTTCTACCTTCGTATAATAAAGTTTACTTTTACTTGCTCAGAGCCACATTGTGCCATTATTTGCTTAGTAAGTATGTTGAATCTTGCAATTTGTCGACTGTGAAAAAATGTTGCAGGTTCCTAGCCAAATTGTAACTTAATTTTAGCTGGGATCAACATTTTAAGTATATATATATAGCATTTGTGGTAGATTTTTAATCTTATATTTGCCTAGTTGTGATTTTTATTGGTGACAGCTTAAGTGTCATGAAATCAAGGACAGTTTTCCTGTGAATATATTATGTGATTAATCTTCAGAGTTGGAAATTGTTTCAGCATAGTACAAGGAATGCTGCATATTAAACATGTTGAAAATCAACATTTGTACATACCATTTAATTTGACTTTCTAAAAGTTTTATTTCTTTGAATTGATGTCAATGCTTTATTCAAATTAAAGAATGTGATTTTTCCATGATCCTTAAATACTTTGTGAATGCAAAGATATATGATTCTGGATCCTACTGTGGAAAGTTGGTAACTAATGTTTTATTCATGATTGCCACCATCTGTAATAGCCTATCAGAAGACCTGAAGTTAGTAATGATATTTTCTTGTTCACTGACAACCTTCTGAAAATATCACAGTACTTCTGGATTGTTAGTAGCTGCAACACTAATTGGATCTTGTGATTTGGCTTAAGGGCCACAGATTTATTTTTAAATGTCATTTTATTGCTCATATGCACAGACCGTTTGCCCCAGACATGGCCATCGCATTTAAGGACAAATTTTGGATCATATTGTGTAGGGATTGGTGATCATTTCCTTCATTGCTCTGTAACTGTCAGGAATTTAATACAATCAGATGCTTTGCTTTCCACTTCCAACACTGTCAATGTGTTTCTATGATAAATTAGAATATTGTGAATGCTGGAAATCTGAAATTCAAATAGAAAATATTGGAAATACTCAGAAGAAGAGTCATTCACCCAGTGTTAACACTTTTTCTTTCTCCATAGCTGCTGGAAGACCTACTAAGTTTCACCAGTATTTTTGAGTTTTATTTTACATCTTTCTATCCTTAAAACAACCTGTCATTGATGATTGACTAATCAAAGACAGCCTATATATAATAACTGTATATATAACAGCTTATATCAAAAGACCAGATACAAAACAATGTTTGGACAATTTCATATGTCAGTCACTTCTTCACCCATAGTTGGAACATTTCCTTCTTAATGAAATATTTCTAAAAGTCTTCAACTCCAACTAGTTTTGAATGCAGTTGATAGGCTGGGTCAGGGTTGACCCCCACTGCACATAGAAGCCATCTTTTTTGTTTTACAGTTACCATAAAGACTGAACATTTAGTCAAGTTGCAGATGAAGGGAATCCTTGCTTTAGCCCCTGTTGTCGAAACTGTTTCAGGAACAATATCAATTTAGCTATCTATCATTTAGGAACTGTTTACAAGGTCAATTAACTTTTTTCTTCTAACTTCACTTATCCCTTGTTTATTGACACAAACTGACCTACTTTTCAGTATAATATTTAAAATGTCCTTTATTGTAAAAATCTGTAAGCACTAAATTTGAATGCCATCTTGGGGTTTTTCCCCTTGCTTCTATCTAAAACCCAAATCCAAATGATGTACTATATTTAGAAACTAGATTGGAATGACTAACAACAGTTGTCTTGCTTTTTATCTACCTAAATGAGAATTTATCCTTGTGTTCAAATCTTAGTGCAATATTGGAATAATTTGGAGCTCAAGACTAAGCTCAAAAATATGGGAGCCTGAAACTCAGCTTTTCACATTGTACTTCATTCCATTTTTAAATGGTATTGCAATGAGAATAAGCTCTTAGCATGATTAGGACTTTAGTTTTTTTATTCATTCATGGGATGAGGGTGCCGCTAGCCAGGCCAGCATTTATTGCCCATCCCTAATTGCCCAGAGGGCAGTTAAGATCAATCACATTGCTGCGGGTCTGGAATCACATGTAAGCCAGACCAGGTAAGGATGGCAGTTTCCTTCCCTAAAGGACATTAGTGAACCAGATGGGTTTTTCTAACAATCGACAACAGATTCATGGTCATCATTAGATTCTTAATTCCATGTTATTTTTTATTGAATTCAAATTCCACCATCTGCTATGGCGGGATTCGAGCTTGGGTTCCCAGAACATTATCTGGGTCTCTGGATTAACAGTCCAGCGATAATACCACGAGGCCATTGCCTTACCATAGTGAATTGAATTTTTTTTAAAAATGAAAACTGAATGTAAAGTATATTTTAAAGGAGAGGGTAAATTCTGATGAGGTTGCTTTGAATGTAAATGTTTTGATATGGCTTCGAAAGAGAACATTGAAAAATGTTAGGACTTAAAATGATAGTTTTATT